AAAGACAGAACAGTTAGCGTGTTTTGCCAAAACTTTCACCATGGCATTAGAGCTGGTACACCTTTGTCGCTTGCGAAATCAAAATGATGGCGCAGTTGGTGGAAACTTACAGAATAAGGGGTGGTAATATTATAATGAGATCCCTTTGCAACGTCACTAGGGGAGCGAAATCAAGACGTGCTCGTTTTTTCAGATGCTTGCAGAAAAAGGCTTACCAAAACAAAATTACTGGGTTAATCTCTTTCAGTAGTAGATGCACCGGGGACCTGATTATAGCACTTAAAACCTGGAAAAGTCAGATTTTCATATGTCACCTTTAAGTGGTAGTGTATAATATTTAATATGATTGTAAAAGTAATGTTTTGTAGGGTAGTTGATGTTTGTGTGATTGTCGTTTCTGTTGCAGGTTCGTATGATCACACAGTGAAAGTGTTTGACATGCGGTCAGGGAGCAGTGTGATGACCATGCAACACGGCCATCCTGTGGAGTGTGTGCTGTTGTACCCGTCAGAAGCCCTGCTGGTGTCCACAGGTGAACAACACTTGTAATTTAACCAATCAGGGGTTGGGGGTTGATTAGTAATGCTTAGAACCCCTTGCAACCATTTATTCACATATATCATAATGCAGAAATATACTGTAGACTTGGTGCATTAATGTAGTTTTCAACTGATGTGCTCTTTTATGTCAGCTTGAATGTGGCTCTTCCATAAAACGGTTGAAATAAGTTGGTGTATGTGTTACAGGAGGGCGTTATGTGAAAGTGTGGGACCTGTTGAAAGGCGGACAGGAGCTTGTTTCTCTTAAGAATCATCACAAAACAGTTACGTGTGCATGTCTGAGTTCTGTAGGCAACAAACTGCTCACAGGATCACTGGACAGGTGTGTGAATCATAGTAAAGAAATGCTATACGTGCTTATTTGTGCATTTTTGCAGAAAGTTGGGTTTATTTGTTTTGGTTGCTTTTCATTTTAGGCACGTCAAAGTGTATAACTCCTCTTATAAGGTTGTACATAATTTCGACTGTGATGCATCCATCCTTAGTATGGCTATTGCGGTATGTTTAGTTCATTGACACAAAGAAATCTATAAATATATATATACAGTAAAATTATAAATGTGATTTTTTTATTTGCACTTGAGTTAAAGGGTTGTTTATTGTGGTTCTCCTTTAGCCTGATGATGAAGCGCTTGCCGTGGGGATGACCAATGGTGTGTTGAGTGTCAGGCACAGGAGACACAAAAAAGACAAAGAGACGTTAACTAGTCGAAGGCGACGGGGCCCGTCATACCAGGTCTTTGTCAAGGGGAAGAACTTTGTGCCCAGACAGGTGATTATTTATTTTTACTTTTTTTTTTTTTTTTACTTTTTTCCTGAATGATTGAATAAATTAATTTTAATTACATTTCTTATTAGCTAGCATTTCACAAGAACCTTGTGCCAAAACGTGTGATTTTTATTTTATGCTATTTTTATTTAATTTGAATTAAAACAATTATTTGATTTAATTTGATTTACTTTTTTCTGAGTGAATAAATAAATCAATTAATTAATTAATTACATTTTTTTATTTGCTAACATTTTACAAGAACTTTATGCCCAAACATGATTTTTTTTTGTACTTTTTAAATTTAATTAAATTTTGTATCTACTTTTTCTGAATGAATCAATGAATTACAATTTTTTTAAGCACTTTTCAAGATACAAATAGTTGCAAAGCAACTTTACAGAGTGAATTTTAATTAATTACATTTCTAATTTGCTAACATTTCACAAGAACTTTGTTACCAAACATGTCATTTTTATTTATTATTTCATTTTATTTTTTTGTTTGCTTTTTCAGAATAAATCAATTAATTAATCATTTAAAATTTCTTATTTGCTAACATTTCAGCTAAAATTGGTCTCTCATATAGCTATTCTACAGCTATATTCATATGTAAGCTATATAAATAATGATATCTACATAAAATAAGAATTTACTTTGAAGTCATGTTTACTGAGGCATATATTTTCATATGAGACTGTTTGAATGAACTTGCGTGCTTCATTTTCGCTGCATTGTTTTCTTCAGTTGTGTCTTACAGTCTTTTGATGTCTCTTTTAGGATGATTTCTTGGTCAGTAAACCAGTGAAGCAATATCTACGGAAATATGACAAACAGCTGAAAAGCTTTGAGGTGTCCAAAGCATTGGACACAGCTCTGCAGGTGAACATACACCCGTGTGTATATAATGCAGTTTGATATGTGATATGTCTGTTCAGATGAAGATATCAGTATATGTTTATGCATGTTTGACAGACATGGACACGCACCAGTAAACCAGATGTGACCGTAGCGGTTATCATAGAGCTCAAACGCAGAGGAACTCTGAAAAATGCTCTCGCAGGACGAAATGAAGAGAGCTTAACCAAGATCCTCAACTTCCTTCTCAAGTGAGTAACTCCCTTGCATCTTATTCCGACACGCACATAGTCTTATGACTTCAGACTCCCATACAAAACATGATGGCTCATATATAGTTGCAGGGGGAAATTTATGAACACTTCCGAATAAAAAAAAAGTTGATTCTGGGGGACTTGAAATTCATCAACGTAGGAAAGATTACAAAATTTTCAAAGAATGCAAAATTTTCCAATTTGCTTTGATTTCTCAAACTGTTTTTGGGTGACTAGGTTATATTTCACTTTAAAATTTAAATATAATAAAACAATGCAATTTTGAAGGCAAAAAAGTTTATTTGGGTACATTGTTATTATTATTATTTTTTATTATTATTACTTTTTTTTTTGCATTTTGATGTTTTTATGACATTTAAGTGCATTTCATGTTTTGAGTTTTGTTGTCATTATTCTCACTGATGATGATTACTGCTATACTGTAATTTTTAGATATAATAACTACTGCCATGATGCATATTGACATTTTAAATATCTTTTTTCTCATTTTAGAGTTGAGGATTTACTGAAAATGTTTAATTGTCATAAAACTCTACAATGCAAAAGTCTTCCAAAATGACATTTGTTGGTAGAAAGAAATAGAAAATTAAAATACAGAAAAAAAAAAACTATATATATTTATGTGTGTGTATGTATATGTATGTATGTATGTATATATATATATATATATACTGTATATGTATATACATACATTTTCCTCATTGTAATTGCAAATTTGCAAATAAATATAACTAAGCAAATTAATACATACACAAATATAAGTAGTAATAATTGAATAATTAGTATAAGTAGTATATAATAATTTTTGTATTTTAATATAAAGACAAAATATAGTGTGTATATGCGTATTATTGAAAGTCTGTGGGATTTCAGCACTGTTAATATTCTGTGAAATGTATTCCATTAAATTCTTGTGACAAAACCGAAAATTCTTGGAATGATTAAAGCTCCGGGAAATTCTTGGGCAGGTTCTCGGGGTGTGTTGAGGTTGAGAGTTTGGGTCACACAACACAAAAGTGACCCAGAACAGGAGGCCACAGTCGTAAGCGTAAACAAGAGTCACGAGAGTCCTGACCAGATTTTCTTGATTCAAGGAATTTAACACCACAGCATTTATTTCTTGTTATAATGGCTTGCTATGAAATGATTCTGAAATTAAGTTAGAGGGTGTTTTTGTTTATTGTTTTTCAGGCACATCTTTGACCCACGCTTCTCTCGGCCTCTGCTCATGGTCGGGGATATTGTGCTTGGTGAGTTTCATATTGTATCATGCGCACGTGAGCAAATGAGAATGAAGAAGGGAACTGCTGCTTGCAAAATAGTATTGTTGTTCAAAGGTTTTCTACATGTGAAATGTGTGTGTGTGTGTGTAGATCTGTATCAGCAGGTTTTTCACCAATCACCTGTAGTCGAGCGGCTGTTGCAGCGTCTTATGGAGGTGTTGGGTCGGGAAGCAGAACTTCAGCAGGAGCTTCTGCAGGTCTTAGGAATCCTGGACACACTTTTCACATCGCTGACCCCCAGAAAAGAGGTCGCGGCCCTTGCTGCCTCACCAGTAGCGCAGGAGTCACAGCTACAAGCCGCCTGACACTCATTACAAAACTCTCGTGACGCAAACGAAACATGCTGGACTTTGGCAGAGGCGTGGTGAAAAATGAAAGGGAAAATGGAAGGAAACAAACACGTGAGGCAGCTGTGGGAAAGATGTTGCCCAATGCCACTGAGTAATCACTGTGTCAGTGTGTCCTCCGTTTCTGCTGATGTTAGCAAAATTTGAAACTGCATTTTGTATATTATTATCATAGAATCTTCAAATCTGTGTTTTGTTTGTTCTCTCTTTCTGTAATAATCAAATGCCTTAATATGAAATACATTTACAATTGCCGCTTTTTGTCTTTCTTGACCAGTATCACTGAAACGTGTGATTTGTGTGTGTTAGCCAATCAGAAAAGGTGCCAATTTGTGTGTCAGTAATTGTGTGTATGCATACCTGTCGTTTGGAGAAAAGGCTGATGGGACAATCATTCAAATTTCTATCCCTATTATTTTTTATTTAATGCTGTTATATTTGTAAAATACTTTTAGTGCCCTTTTTATTTTCTTCACATTTTTATCAGGAGTAAAATATGATGTTAAAGCAGGACAAAATAAAAATACGTAAAATTTGTAAGGCTTATATTTATATTATTTGCTTATATTTAGAAAAAACAGTATCTATCGCAAGCAATTTAGAGTTTAAAGGCACTTCTCTTTTTACGTTTCTTTAAGTATTAAAATAAATGCCACAGAACTTGGAGCAACTTTAACAAATCTACATTTGTGTAAATAATTACACAAAAAAGGCTGTAGAAAGATGAGCCTTGAGGACGTGGCAGTTCTAAACCAATGACATAATCACGTTTGGATTGAAGTGGACCAATCGCCAAGCGGATCAGTCCACGTCTGCACAGGCGGTCCTGAGTGCAATCCTCAATCTGATTGGACCGTTAAACGAGGTTTGAGCGTTATGCCCAATCTGATTGGTCAGTTGGGAGGGCCATCCAAAGGAAGCGTCTCCCGAACTAGTTTGACATCCGGAGTTACTGAGATCAGCTGGGCGGTGTGAAACGCTACACAATTCACCAGGTAAAGTTGCAATTTTGCATCAAAACATAAAACGGTTAATACATATGTGCTCTGATATAACGCTACAGTGATGTGCCTCGCGGTTACATTTATGTCATTTGAGAGTTGCGGGTATTTGCATGAGGCTTAATGTGAGGACTTTAAATGATGTTTGCATGTCCAAATATTGGAGACATTCATTCAATTTGACAATGAAATAATTAAAAAAAATATATATATAACAAGTTATCTGGTAACACTTTATTACACTAGTATCAGGGTAGTTTTGTGTCTGACTAATATATTTGTGAGTGTGTATATATATATATACAGTGGGTACGGAAAGTATTCAGACCCCCTTAAATTTTTCACTCTTTGTTATATTGCAGCCATTTGCTAAAATCATTTAAGTTAATTTTTTTCCTCATTAATGTACACACAGCACCCCATATTGACAGAAAAACACAGAATTGTTCTTGCAAAAACAGATAACGTTATACTTTAATCATTTTCATAAATCATGTTTTTTATCAAGTTATTGTGTTTTATTGTGTTAGTGGGCTGCATTTTTAAAATTATTATTATTTAATCAAAACAACCCAGGTGCAGTTTGATTGATGTTAATTGGAATGCAGGATAAGAAAACATGTTTTTTGAACATTTTTAAAAACAGTTATCTATTTTTGCAAATTAACTCTTCTTATTTGACCCTGTTAAAAAAAGTGTACGAGAAGATGGACCTCCTGTCGCTGTTGTTGTTGGTCGGCCTCTGCGTGCTTCAGTCCTCCAGTAAACCCATGGAAAAGAAGGACCGCATCCATCACGACGCCCCCCTCAGCAACAAGGAGCACGATGATGACGAGAACTTCGACTACGACCACGAGGCTTTTCTCGGACAAGAGGAGGCAAAGACCTTTGACCAGCTCACCCCCGAGGAGAGCAAAGAGAGACTGGGGTAAAAACACATGCACCACATTTCAATGAGCTCTTCACTTGAGAAAATACTCTAGATCATTCACTCTCTCTTTCTATCTACAGTAAGATTGTAGAAAAGATTGACGAGGATCACGACGGCTTTGTGACCGCTGATGAGATGAAACAGTGGATCAAACATGCTCAGAAGCGATGGATCTATGACGATGTGGACCGGCAGTGGCAAGCTCACGATCTCAACTCAGACACTTATGTCTCCTGGGAGGAATACAAGAACGCTACCTACGGCTACATCCTTGGTGTGTATAATGCGTTTATTGATTAATCATGTTTCGGAGGTTAAATCTAATCGAAATGCAAGTAAATCTAAATCTAGTTTCCAGTTCGATCTTTTGGATTGACCAGCTAAACTCTCATTTTAAAAGTATTGAAATCAAATCTGTCCTCAAAACAACAGATTTAAGTCAGGAAAAATACAAATATCACATTTATTTCGAATAGCTAGAAATCTAGACTGATGTGATGTGTGCACGTCTGTTTAGATGAAGCAGATCCCGAGGACGGTTTTAACTACAGGCATATGATGGCTAGAGATGAGCGCCGTTTCAAGATGGCTGACCATGATGGTGACATGAGGGCCAATAAGGAAGAGTTTACAGCGTTTCTTCATCCTGAGGAGTTTGACCACATGAAGGATATTATAGTGCTGGTAAGTCTGGACAATCAGAATGCTAAAAATGTCTTCCATATACCTTTTCTGTTATGTTTTGTCATTGTTTACTCACCCTCATTATGTCATCCATCCATCCATCCATCCATCCATTTTGTTTGCAGGAGACCATGGAGGACATTGATAAAAATGGAGATGGTTTCATCGACCTTGATGAATATATTGGTAAGTGAAGTGTTTTCCTTTTTAAGTGTGTTTGTGTATATTTAAGAGAGACTGGAACGGACAGAAATCAGTTGTTTGCGTTTAGTGTATTGATCTTGTCTCACTTTTTCCCTCGTCTGGGTGTTTTTCAGGTGATATGTACAGTCAGAATGAAGATGCGAATGAACCAGAATGGGTGAAAACAGAAAGAGAACAGTTTACAGAGTTCAGGGATAAAAACAAAGACGGCCGTATGGATAAGGACGAGACCCGTGACTGGATCTTGCCCTCTGACTACGACCATGCAGAGGCTGAGGCCAAACACCTGCTGTATGAATCTGATGCAGATGAGGTAAAAGCATGGTAATTCTCAGTAAAGGGACATTTTGCATAAAAGTCATTGCATCCGTTACAAATTCAACAATTTTATGTGAAAGTTTTCTATACCCCCCCCAATCCCTAAAAATTAAGTGTTTATAAAGTAAGTAAATAATGTAAGATCTTTGCATAAAATCTGGAATTATATGAATAGTTCCACCAAAACTGAGCATTCTAGCCTATTTTACTCACCCTCATGTAATCGGAAACCCATGTAATGCAATGTTTATTTTACATTTTTGCATTTTGCAGATACTTTTATCTAAAGTGGCTTACATTGCATTTATGGTATACATTTTGATCAGTTAATGCATTCCCTGGGAATCAAACCTATGACCCATTAAAAACTTGTTTGTCCAAAAAACAATTTTTGGATTAATACATTTTATTTCTTAAATGAGCAGGTTGCCATAATTCTATGTCATTAATTTTGGTTTTCTTACCTTTCTTTCCCTCTGCAATTCATACATGACTGAAAATGACCTGCCATAATTCTATTGGCTGTGCGTCAGATTCGTTATGCTTATTGATGGGGTGATGAAAGCAAAAAAAAAAAATTATATGAAGCACTAACTGCTGACAATAATAAATGATGATATGATTGGTCTGTTTATAAGAATTTTTTTTATCTTAGCAGCTGCTTCAATAACTTCTTTTACTTTCACGACAGGACGGACGCCTCACAAAGCAGGAAATTGTGGATAAGTATGACTTATTTGTCGGGAGCCAAGCAACCGATTTTGGAGAAGCACTGGTCCGACACGATGAGTTTTAATTTTGGAAACTTTGCACTTAAAAAATGCAAAACGAACAATAATTTATTTTATGTTTTCAAGCATACCACATTGTGAATCATTACTGTGTTTACAAAACATTTCTGTTCTTCCACAGCATCTCGATCAAATGCATTTTTTTATTTTTGCTTTTTCCGTGAACACATCTTTCGTAGATTAACTCATCACCGTTGGATTCTGATGTGATTTCAAATGCACTGATGAAATAGTATTCAGGTCAGCTTGTGAAGTTTGTCAAGGTGTTGTGTAAATGATTGTCTGATGGTCTATGATGCACTAAAATGCGGCCATATAATGCAGCATAATGGCATGCATGTAACCCGACATGGCATAGAGCAATAACCGCCCATTTGTGTTTTTACACGGCATATTATATGAACACTTTTTTTTTTAGGTATATAAAAAAAAGAATACCATCATGTAAACTACTTTTCTAATTTCAAACTTTTCAACTTTATTCAACTTTTCTAATTAACAGTATTCAGGTCAGCTTGTGAAGTTTGTCAAGGTGTTGTGTAAATGATTGTCTGATTGTCTATGATGCACTAAAATGCGGCCATATAATGCAGCATAATGGCATGCATGTAACCCGACATGGCATAGAGCAATAACCGCCCATTTGTGTTTTTACACGGCATATTATATGAACACTTTTTTTTTTAGGTATATAAAAAAAAGAATACCATCATGTAAACTACTTTTCTAATTTCAAACTTTTCAACTTTATTCAACTTTTCTAATTAATATAAAATGTCTTGCAACCACTACATGTATGTGTTTCTCTCCATTTAGCCTGAGGATGTATGATATTGGACATGACGCTAAGTAGTAGATTGTAGTAAGGATGTTGCATAATTTCATGGTCTTTCTTTGGCTCAAAATACATCTAACCAGAAGTTCTGGATTGGTTCCTGCAGGAACACGGATCAGAATGTCAAGGCTTGTTTTTTTCAATCTATGGCCAGATAAAAGCTGTGTGTAAAATTGATCAATCAACTGATTGGGTGCTCATTTATGAACAAAAACCCCTGCTTGAAGGACTATTGAACATCATTCCACCCTCTGCGACCTGTCAGTGACAGCTGTTCGTACTCTTATTAATAGACTGATCCAACAAACTAAAGCTGTTCTTTCCTCAAGTGCCTTTTTCCGTCTCCCTCAACCTTCCAACGGCTTTGACGTTATTATGCGAGACTTTGGTTATCTTACCTTTCTTATTTGTGCAATTTGTACATGGCTGAAAATGACCTCCTCTCCTAACATTAGTATATAATTTGTGTATGTGTGTGTATATATATATATATATATGTTTATAATTGAATGTGAACTCTGTTTAGTATGCTGTGGTCAGGTATTGTAAATACTGTCTTATAGCTGAGAGTGTTTTCTCAATAAAATTGATGAAAATTAATCACATTTTCAATTGGGTTTCCATTTGTGGGGTTTCCAGGTGAATTTCTTGTTTTTGCACAGATTCTAATCAGATTCACTAGGTGGTGATCTGCTCACTTTTACTTCATTTGAAAAACTTTTTTAGGCATATTGCACCTGTTTTTCTATTTCTTTGATATTATCCGTCCCACCCAAGTTTAATTTTAGCAGAACTATCTACACCACAGGCAGTCTTATTGTTTGTCATCAGTAGATTTTATTTGAGTTTGCAATGCAAAGTGCAATTTCAATACAAAGAATGCATGTCCGTGTGCAATGATGTACATTATATAATGTAGAAAGGGCACTGGATGTCTGAAAACCATCGGTGCAGGGCAAAATTTTAAACTTTGGGTTAGAAGTTAGCTTGACGCTTGTATTACTCACCCATCAGTTCATTGCCTCGCAGATGCCAAATCTGTTCTTTTCCCGTTTTACAAATGCTCATTTGGTGCTCGAGCTCAATTCAAACATTGAGTTGATTCAGTATCACTCTTAGCTTTCGTCAGTCTCCCATAATCATCTCCCGTCATTAGTTTCATCTGTGTCTGTGTCGTAGAAACATTCTATCTGTGTGTCGTGAGGATCATGAAGATAGTTCAGATGTTGACTACTTGTATCTAGATTAGATACAGACTCCTCTTCTGGGCTACTGTCATCTAAATTTGTTGCAATGTCCTCATTAACATAATATATGTTTGAGCTTGGGGTGTTGTCCGTCTCAACTCCCAGACGTTCTTCCGATCCATTGTATTGACCTGGATCTAGTGTTAATGTGCTTAGATGTGTTTGTAAGTTACTTACATCATGAATGTTTTGTACAGAACTTTCAGCTTCTGAAACTTGAGGATCTAAATTAAGATCATCCGATTTTCTGGTCCCATCTGTTTTAAAGCTTTCTGAATAATTGACGACAGGTTTGTCGGCCTCTGAAACCAAGGCTTTAGGGTTAATGATACATGTCTCTCTTTGAAAAGTGGAGAACTCTGCTTGTGAAGTGTCCTCTAATGCTGAGTTTTGTGTTACTGTTTGATCTCTTTCTTGACTTTCAGTTGAGTGTCTTTGTATTCTTTGTAGATCAGACTTGAATCTGTGCTTTCCAGCTATTTTTTGGTTCCTGATTTCCAGTGGTTTTGCATGGATTCTGTCTTCTAAGTCAATTTTTACTTGTGTGTGGTCTGTATTATGTGTTTCGTAGTCTCGGTTGTCTCTTTTTAGGTGCATATTGAGCATTTCTGACTCGTTGTATATGTCGTCACAGTATGAAGTGATTCTTTGTGATTGGATTTTAAATTCTTCTTCTGGGAGATCTGAATCATCATTTTCTAATTCGCAATCCATGTTAATTTCTTCTAAATCGGTACAAATCTCCACCTCTGTTGTGAACGTAGTCTCTGTATTTTCTTCACTCTCCTCATCCCATTCCCGAACCACAATGTAGTCGTGAAATGACACCGTTTTATTGTTAAACCTGTTCACGGGTCTCCCGTTGGGCCGCAGTGCCAGATAATTGCGTCTTGGTTCCCGTAATGATTTGTTGAAGGTAATTGATGGTAAGTTCACAGATGATGATGGAGGTGGTTCCTCTATTTTGGTGTAGATGCCCTGTTTGCCATAGAAAGGTGAGGTGGAGTGGTCGTACTCACTGAACACCTCGTTGTGATATGAGAACGTTTCCTCCACTAAAGTCATCGGTTGGCTCTGGTTCATCTATCAGAGAAAAACTGTCACTCAGCTGGATTTACAGTTGCTTCCCTGAAAACATTTCTATCATTTAAAAGCACAAATGCACAAGGGTTGCTATGGGAAATTTGAAGGTGCACGGAATAATATTGTCCTTATTTTAAGGAGATTTCAAATGATGCACACTACTATTCAACATTGAATGTATCTACAGTTTCCACAAAAAATATTAAGCATAATAAGAATTTTTTGCTGAGCAGCAAATCAGCTTATTAGAATGATTTCTGAAGTATCATGTGACACTGAAGACTGGAGTTATTGGATTTTGCTTGTGTGTGATGCAGCATGTACACTGGTAGGTGTATAAATTCCAAGACCACTGATACTGTATATTTGCCAGAATTGAACAAATACTTGCACTTTCAAAGTTAAAAGGTTTGGGATACCGCATCAAGTAGTGTCTGATCTGACACTCTCTGTGACTCATATAGAACTGCTTTAATCGATATTCTCAGTTTAATAACAAAACAGTCAGTCTATGCTTTAAGAAACCATTCTATTTCCACTTTTTACCTAAATGAAAATACAATGAGGTTCACTAAGGGAATGCAATAACATTAACTCACCATCCGGAACCATCTCAGACACTAGACATGGAATATTAAGAAATGCAAAAAGATCCTTCAGAAATCATGAATTATTTCAACTAAAAATTATTGAGAAAAAACTTTTAAACTTCCATAAAATTATTAAGCAGCACAACTATTTTCAACGTTAATAATAATAGTCAGAAATGTTTCTTGAGCAGCAAATCAGCATATCAGAAAGATTTCTGAAGGATCATGTGACACTGAAGACTGGAGTAATGAAACTGAAAATTTAGCTTTGCATCACAGGAATAAATTACATTTTAAAATATATTCAAATAGAAAACAGTATTTTAAAACTGTAATATTATTTCACAATATTACAGTTTTTACCCTATTAAAACATTTTTAGAAGCTCAAAGTAGAAGTTGTTACATAGTTCTGTTTCTTTTTTTTTGTTTGTTTCTTAATTCGTTTGGAACATATGGATAATATGCAGTCTCTAACATGTCTGTTGTGTATGTTGCATGAATATACAGTTGTGCTCATAAGATTACATGCCCTTTGCAGAATATGCAAAATGTTAATAATTTTAACTAAATAAGAGGGATAATGAAAATTGCATGTTATTTTTATTTAGTACTGTCCTGAATAAACTATTTCACATAACAGATGTTTATATATACTCCACAAGACAAAATAATAACTGAATTCATAAATGACCACGTTCGTGAATCCTAATAATCTGTGTTGTTTCCTGGATGATCCATGATTGTTTTTCTGTGTTGTGATAGTTGTTCATGAGTCCCTCGTTGGTCCTGAGCAAAATCCTCCAGTTCCTGCACATTCTTTGGTTTTCCAGCATCTTCTGCATATTTGAACCCTTTCAACATTGACTGTATGATTTTGAGATCCATCTTTTCACACTGATGGCAATTGAGGGACTCATACACAGCTATTACAAAAGGTGGAAACATTTACTGATGCTCAAGAAGGCAACACAATGCATTAAGAGCCAGAGAGGTGTAAACTTTTGAACAGGATGATGATGTGTAAATTTTGTTTAATGATCATATTTTTTTCATTTGGTACTGCACTTACATAAATACTTAAATGTTTCCCAGAAGACAAAATAAGTACAATTTACCCTGATCATCCAATTCAAAAAGATTACAGCCCCCAGCCCCAGCTCTTAATGCATTGTGTTCCCTTCTTGAGCATCAGTAAACGTTTTCATCTTATAAATAGTTATGAGTCCCCCAATTGTCCTCCATGTGAAAAGATGGATCTCAAAATCATAGTCAGTGTTGGAAATATGTTGTTCAAATATGCAGAAAATGCTGGAAAACCAAAGAATGTGCAGGAGCTTGAGGATTTTTCTGAAGAACAGCAGCCAGTTGAACTGCTCAGGAACAACAAGGGACTCATGAACAACTATCACAACACAGAAAGACAGTAGTGGATCATCCAGGAAATTAAGATTCAAGGGTATGTAAACTTTTGAACCGGGTCATTTTTATAAATTCAGTTATTGTTTTGTCTTGTGGAGAACATATAAACATCTGCTATGTGAAATAGCTTATTCAGGACAGTATTAAATAAACAATAACATTTTGTATATTCTGCAAGGGGCATGTAAATTTATGAGCACAATTGTATCTTGTCTTACCACATTAGGGTGTCTGTTGTCAGCCACAC